TCTCTCTCTCTCTCTCTCTCTGTGTGTGTGTGTATCCGTGCACGCGTGTGCTTGTGTGTGTGTTGTGTTGTGTTGTGTGTGTGAGTGTGTGTGTGTGTTTGTTTGTGTATGTGTGTGTGTTTGTCCATCTTTGACTCATTTGTCGGTGTAAGAGCTCCGCACATGGAAGTAGCTCGAAATAAACTGTCAGTTGTGAAACTTTGGAAATTATTGTAGAGCACCCCCACCCCCCTTTTCCCCTCGATCTAAATGTAAAACTCGAGATCTGAAAAATATAACCTGGTCAGTACACGTAGCCAGAAAAAAATATGACACATTTATCATGTCCTTTATGTTATGTATACCTTAAGTCAAGCCGTTGTCTTCCTTCTGTACCTCAGTCAAAGCCACTGTCCTCCTGTTATTATCACTAACTGCACATACCTGTATACGATTTTAGCCTTTGGGAACAATCCTGGTCTTTCTTTTCGCCGCGATTACGAGTTTGTAATGGTTGGTAAAGCAGTCTACAATGAAGTCCTCGAATTTGTTCCGCATATCACTATTATCACCAACATGAAGATTGAAACATACGAGAGGTCTGTGTGCTACCTAGCTATACGTTTTTGTTCAGACTTCCAACTGGAATTTCCAGTGTTGTCCTCGAATTTGTTCCGCGTGTTATCAACATGAAGCTGAGATTTCCAAAACAAGCATAAATAACGTGTGCTAAAGTTGAGACGTCAGACCCAATTATAGACATATGGGCTACTCATAGACTGCGCTCTGTCATGGCCGCCGCTCTTGGTTGTAGCAAAAACTTTGCTGTAAAGTGAAGAGTGTACGTGGATAAAACACCAGTCTCGCTATGATTGAGTGTGCATGGCACCTCCACCCACCTGTACCATTATTAGGCTCAAATATGGTTAAATTATGCGCTCCAGACAACAGGATATACGTCGACGTATTCGCGATCTGAGATGATAAGATCATTGCAGAAAGCCACCCAATTTAAAAAACCCAGGTAAGGTAACTTAAAACTGGTTTCCAGCAACCGGATACTTTGGGAGTATGTGACTTAGCACATTCGTGGTGTAGTTTCCAATGCAACTTTGTGATTTCTGTACTGGGCTTTGTTAGTTCCGTTTGCAAGAGAAAAAGGCTGAGGCTGAAAAGAACACAGGTTTACAAAGAACGCTATTCTACTCGTACATCAGTAAGACGGATTTTGACAGGGCAATAGTTTGAATGTGTGGGCTTGGACAACACACTCAAGGTGGAGCAACACCTGCAGCACTCTACATCCCCTCTTACTGAATACTATTAATGAATCTGAGTAAATTATGGTCAAATGACATCACAAACAACAAAAGAAATTGTATAGGTTTAGCACCCCTATCAACACTATAAGGTTATTTAAGAGGCGGGACCTCCGGGTTTAACGTCACTCTCCGAAAGGACCGAGCCAAGTGGGAAATTCGTGTAAAGTGCCTTTCCCAAGGACTCAGCGTCGGACCGAGCAGAGGCTCGAGCCCCCAAACCCGCAATCTAACGACTATGAGTCCGGTAGCCGAACCACTCGGCCACCGACGCCACAATGACATTGACATCACAGACTATACTCAAACACCGTGTTTTCAGGCGCTCCTAAATTTATGAACATGGAGTTTAAGAAAACATCTTAAAGCTTGTTCATTTGATGTGAAAAAAACAACCCCTTCATCTTGAATAGAAGTCGAAAATTATATTTGGGAATGATGTAGATGAGGGTCGCTTAGTGTCAGAAAAGTTGGGTGTCAATGACATTTTTGTGTGTCTTTGATCAATGTCTTTCAGTATAATCCACACATAAATGTGTATTTAAATAAACGTTAAAGGTGTTGTGCAGAAATTTAAAAAATGAATTTAAAAAACCCTAATAAAATAAAAACTAATTGATAAAAATTTCCAATCATGTTTTAGAAAAGGCTGTTTTTCGTTTTGTTTTATTTTATTTGCCTTGTTTTTCGATTCAGTGTTTCCTTCTTTTTTTTTTTTTACTATGATGACATACTGACAGTTCTGACCTTTGTAGGGAAATGTAACTGCTACTACATGTACTCCCCCCCCCCCTTTTCACAATTGCTTAGTGGTTATAATTTTTGTTCTTTCACATTGTGGCAGATAATCGCTTCCCTTTTCAAAACTTTACTGCCACTTTGTCCCTAATTAACAAATTTCAATTCAGTTTGTTTGGAAGAACACAGGCTCATCAAGTGTTTGTGTTTCCCCCCATTTTATTCTACACTTGCCCCCCCCCCCCCCCCTCTCGCCTTGACCTTCGTTTGCTCATATATTTCAATGGTGCACTCCATAGTGAACCGGAAATACGTAAAAGTGGACAATAGAAATAAATCTGCTGACTTTCCCAAGGAAAAGAGAAGAATGCGGTCGTTTCTCTGTATTGATACAGG